TGTGTGTGTGTGTGTGTGTGTGTGTCAGAGCCTGGAGGACAAATGATGAAGACGTATGAGCACACGCCTCAACAGGCTGATACTTCACCACACAGCATGACCTCCACTGATTATCCAGTCGCTGTGTTAGCACGTCTGTCTGTGTGTTTCTGAGTGTGTGTCTTCTCCAATGTCGTCTTTTCTATCGTGTGTGTTTGTGTGTGTGTGTGTGTGTGTGTGTCCACGGCCGTCCAGATCCACACTCGACCCTGTGGTTAGAATCCACGAGGTTAGAGGTGCTGCTCTCTGAAGCTCGGCTGCGTTTTTATGAATCATGTATGTGCAGATGTTGAAATCCAGAAAATGTCGTGGTAGAGTTCATCTTCCACATGTGACGAAGGAGATTGTCCGGGTCAGCCTGCACATCGTTTCTTATTCTTACTGAGAACGGGATTTTTAGTTCCGCAGCTGGTCGTCACCTCCATTTACTTTAGCGCTACATGGGAACACGGCTCCCTGATGTAAACGGGTTCATTGTGCGTTACCGCCAGTTGAAGCTCTGCCGCCGCTCCTGGGCTGAACCACAATAAAGGAAGGAGTGGTCGTGTGTGAGCGTGTGGAGATTAAGTAGGAAAGATAATCCTGCAGTGCACGTGCAATCAACAACTTGCAAATGTTGACACTTTTCTTGCATTTGAGGACTAAGATGTCGCTTGTTTCCTATCGGCTGTGTTTTGACGTTTTCTGCAGGGTACAGGATGTTTGTTCTGTCAGTTCACAGATGATGGATGAGGTGCAGCCGCAGACATCATCGCTCTCCACACGTTAACTATTTCTTCAGCAGGTCGCTGAGCAGCGGAGAAGGAAAACCATTCAGAGGAGAGATGTGCCGACCGACTTCCTGTCACGACCACGATCTTTGTGTGTCAGGGAACCTTTCGCACTAATCAGTTACCCGTCGGTATCTGTAGGATTATTCATTCACAATCAAAAGATCGGTTTTATTTTTAAAACAGTGAGTCAGTTGTAACTAAGGTCTCGTCTGTATTTTTCAGCTTCTAACATCCGTGTAAGCATTTAAAGATGTGTCTGCACATTCACAGATTTGTTTCCACACCTGCAAATGAAATTGATTGTTTTGCACATTTACAAATCCAATTACACAGCGATTGAGATACAAGTACACAACACACACACACACACACACACACACACACACACACACACACACAGATGTGATGTGATGTGACCACAGAGAACACATCAGTTGTGACAGCTTGTCGTTTGGGCTCAGCCACACTAATACAGGACTCTGTCAGAGACGGCTAAAGGAAAAAATAAATAAATACGCCACACTTCAGTCAATAAATCTCATCTCATGTAATAAATCCACTGCATCTGTGATCTATTCATGAGAGCGACTCGTTTCTGTCTGCGTCTCCTTCAGTTAAACGCTCTGAGCTCCATCGTCCTGCAGACGCACAAACTGAGGCCTCAACAAAATCAGCTCTTTGATGCTGTTGACATCGTCCTCTTTCTTTTTCAAACCTCCACATTCGAAAAAACTTCAGAGGCTGCGCAGCAACATTCAAGTTGCTTTTTATTTCAGTGAAATGATCAGAAATATCAGAGACGACTTCAGACGTCTCAGGGAAAGTTTTGTGTTAATAAGAAAAACACCAAATCAAATAATTTAAATTAAAAACTGATTTTAAAATTATATTTCCTGCCTGTAAACAGGATTATAAGCAGGAGCCGTCATGCACTTATGAAAATGGATTAAGTAGGTTATTGCTTTTCTCAGAGTTTATTGCACGAGCATATGAACAAAACCCAAATATAGCAAAGTGACTGAAACCTTTTAAACACTTGACCTATTTTTAGATATTTTATTTTGTGCGCAGTGTGAATTGTAGGATTTTGGTGTCAGAGAAGTTTTCATGTGTCCAAAATAAAATCCAACCTGTGATGGAGGATTTCTTTCTGTTGATTCTACTGACGGTAGTATCACTATAATAAAAAAAGATGATCAGAAGATGGAGTGGAGCAGTGAAGTGTCTCACCTGGAACTCAAAGGTCTCATCAAACAGCGGGTCGTCCTGGTTCTGAGCAGCCGTGCGTGTCCGCTGCTCGGCGCAGTCGGCCGGGACGCCGTGCAGCTCCAGAACCACGTACGGGTCGATGACCTCTCCCTTCGCCCCCGACCCCTGAGGCTTGGGCAGGTTATGGGCACTGATGACCTGCAGAGTGAGACGCAACAGCACCGATGACAATTCACATATTTGGGTGGAAAAAATTGTTGTTTTTGACAGCTTTAATCATTCGTCCTGTTCACACTGGAGGTGAAGACATAAATAATAATACGTCACCGCCTCCACCAACCAGTGCAGTTTCAGCCTCAAATGAACTTTTCAGCTAAATTTTAGAATTTAAATTATTTTTACTGCCTCGAAAATGTGATATATCAAAAATAAATTATAGCGATGCATCAGTGTGGAAGCAGAATTTAATGACTCGACAGCAGCGGTTCTTAAAATATGGGTCCGCTGAACCCCGGGGGGTCCGTGACACTCTGCGAGGGGGAACACACAACTAAAATCTTTCCAAGACATTTCTCTTGTTCTCTCAGACAACTGAAGATTAAAAAACAGGCTGTGTCACATTATTCCGAGCGACAAACATGACGGTGTCCTCAGAATATGTCTCGCGTCTTAGCAGAGAAAAGCTATAAAAAGCTGCTTTATAAACATCCAGGTCATCTGGACCAGAGTCGTGAGATGATCAATGACCGTTAAATAATAATTAACTTTATTAATCAACTTGAAATGAGAATCTCAGCAGATGTGCACCTTGATGCGAAGCGTCTGAGGAGGAACCCCTGGAACACATCCCTGTGTGTGGGCACTGAAGTACGACACCTCGTCCCTCATCACAGTCGGTCGGAGGACGTAACCACACCCTCCGTTCTGAGAGAATCGACCTCGGTGAAGGTCCAGCATGGCGCCGGGGGTCTGCTGGTTCAAGGCCACGAGCTGGACCCCTCCCTTCCAGTACCCTTGTGGGTTGGGGTTACTGGAGTCCAGACGCACTGAGCTGGGCCGCACCCTGGTTAAAGTGCGCTTTGTGAACATGACCAGGTCCTCCGGGCTCTCGCTGGTCAGCCGCCCGGCCTCTCCCTCCCCCAGGGAGCACAGGGTCCAACAAGGCGGCTCAGGGGCCAGCGGCGTGCTGGGGGAGGAGGGGCTGCTGGTCGGTGACTGCTGCTGGCTCGCTCTCTGGGCGTAGAAGCTGCGGCTGCCGGTCCGAGCGATGGCCACCAGGTCTGACAGCTCTTTGTTGAGACGCAACTTTCTGGGTTGAGAGGGTGGAGGCACCACTAAGACCACGCCCAGTTCCTCCTCACCGGGGATGGTCATTCGCCGTCCTGCCAAAGGCCCTCCTCCTCCTATCTCCTCATCCTCCTCAGACACCTCGCCGTCTGACCCTTGCTGCTCCGGCGGCAGCTTCTTCCCGACGAGCAGGATGCGTCCCTTCAGCTGCTCGGGGGAGGGCAGGGTCGTAGCCCGGCCTCCCAGGCTGACGGGCAGGGGCTCTGGCTTGTAGAGACGGGAGCCGAACACTTTCTTCAGGTGCTGCGCCATTGTGCGCTGCTGTGCCGGAGAGCAGCGCTGGCACAGGTACACCAGCAGCGGGTACTGAGAGGTCAGGAAGGCGTACTTGTTCACCACCTCCAGAGCAGAGCGGATGGTCACAGGAGCGTGGTGGTGATGGTGGTGGTGGTGATGGTGGCGGGGGACCTCTGGACCGTAGTCGACCCCCAGGAGGGGCTCCCCTTCTGGGCCGTCAGTCACCCCCAGCTCCAGGCATCGACAGCCACACTGCAGGGACTTAATCAGGCCTCCGAGGTCGGCTCTGCCGTGGACCTGGTCGTCCAGCAGGTACGAGCGGTACGAGGTGCTGAGGAAAATAAAACCAACACAATTAACGTCCTGCTTTTTAAAATCTAATAGTATTATTGATATTTAGTGACAAATATTTTACTTAATATCAGCTAAATTGTAAATTAAATTAAAGAAACACCTCAACCCTGTTCTGGGACACAGCTTCTTTGAAAGAAGAGACTACACAACAACATAAAACTGACCTATAATAATAAAATGTGTCTGATATTAAATTGTATATTTGTGTTTATTTTGGAGGCTCAGAGAGTCAACAGAAGCTTCTGGTGGATGATGCACATGGTGACTGAAAACAGGAGCCGCTGAGTGAATTAATTCAGAGACAGACGTCTGTGTACTGATCTTTCTTCAGGCTGAAAACAACACGGAGCAGTCGTGTGGATGTTGATGTTAGATTCCAGACCCGGACTCACCTGACGTAGTAGTGGGACAGAGGCAGGTTCATGTCCTGACAGACCCCCAGGTGCTCCGGGTCCAGCAGCTGACACTCGGGCGACTGCAGGTAGCGAGCGAATCCGTCCAAACCCAGCAGCCCCCTCTCCCTGCCCTGCGCCGACGGCTCGTGGCGCCTCAGCAGCTCCCAGCAGCCCTCGGTCGTCGCCAGGGACAAACCCTGCTCCGTCTCCAGGAAGAGACGGAGGTCCTGAGGGTCCAGACACTCCCGGTCCTTGGACAGCTGCACCAGTAAGAAGTAGACGTCGGGCCGGGTGCAGAGCTCGCAGAAGGCCTCCTCGAACTCCTCTCGTGTCACATGGGACGTCAGCTTCTCTTTGCTGCGCTGGATCTCCTTGAAACGCTGACGCACCTGAGAGAAGGAGCAGGAGAGGGAGGAGAGGGAGGAGAGGGAGGAGAGGGAGGAGAGGGAGGACAGGTCGGAGGAACGGAAGACGGTTTATTGAGCGAGAGATTGAGTGAACTAATTAGTCGTTCGTTCAAAGCAGCCGACTAATTTGATTAAACTTCAGTTATCTTGCTTCCATGAGGATATTAAAGTGACCCACATTAAACAACACATATCTCTCTCTCTCTCTCTCTCTCTCTTCTTCTCTCTGTTCTTTTATCTGCGCTCAGCCGGGACGGGTTCTGATAGACGACCTCATTCTGGATCCAGCCCCATCGTTGGTATAATTGCTCTAAAAGCCGCACCCTCTGCTCTGATCGTCGTCAGGCCACGTTACATTTTGTGTAACAACATTTTAAATCCCTGCTCACCTTCGCTTCCTTGATGCCGGGACACAGTTTGCAGATGGTGGCGACCGCGACGTCCTCCGACACGATGCCGTAGCCGTCCTCGTCCACCTGGGCGAACTCCGCCGCCAGCCACTCGCTCCTCATCTTGCTCCCCAGGCTTCCATCAACCGCCACACCCCCTCCTTCACCCAGCCCTCCTCCACCACCTCCCCCAGCCCCACCGATCACAGACGGGTGGGCCAACAGGTAGCGGAGGCCCGTCACCCAGATGTTGGCCACATCAGCAGACAGTGCGACCAGGTCCAGAGACTGCAGGGAGGAACAGATCTTAACCGTCACTTGAATATTTCGTCGTATTTGCTGATTATTGAAGAAGGAACTTCACGACAAGCATCTCCTCTTCGTCCTTCCTCACCTGGTAGTCGTCTCCATGGATGATGGAGAAGGCTGCCTCCTCAGCCAGCTGCTCAGACAGGGGGCCGTTGTGGAGGAAGGTCTCGGTGCTCTTCCCGATGCGGACCTCCCGGACGCTGCAGACGTCCAGCCGAGCCCGCTCGCCGTCCTTCTTCGACGGCTCCCAGCGCAGGCAGCTCAGGTCCGGGTCCAGGGTGTAGAAACGACAGTAGACCCTGGAGTTGGGCCGGATCTTCTTCAGTTCACAGCCGCCCTGCATGAACGCCAGGCAGTCCGCCGCGCTGCTCACCTGGGACGGAAAACAGGTTTTACTATTTGAGTTCAATATAGTTTTGTTTTTACGTTCGTTTCTTGTTCTAATCTACCTTCTTCTCAGACGGCATGCTGCTGAAGGACACTGTCTTCTTCCTGCCGCCGCCCATCTTCTGCACTGAAGGATCCTGGGAAAAGACACAGACAAGGTCAAGACTAGAAGAAGTGTTTCTACATTTGAGGTTTGAGATTTTAACCATAAACTATTTTCAAT